TATTCTGTTCATGTCTTATCTCAGTATATGCAGGCCCCTACTCTGGATCACATGAATGCAGCCATGCATGTCCTTCGCTACATCAAAGGTCATGCGGGTCAGGACATTTATCTCAGTGCTAACATCAATTTACAAATTTCTGCCTATTGTGACTCTGATTGGGCCAGTTGCCCCAGGTCCCGTCGGTCTGTTAGCGGGTATTTTATCATGTTAGGAACCTCTCCGGTATCCTGGAAGACAAAGAAGCAAACCACTGTTGCGAGATCGTCTGCAGAGGCAGAGTACAGAGCTATGGCAAATGCTTATGTGGAAGTCCATTGGATGCGAGGAATTTTACTAGCCTTGGGAGTTCCTATTTTATATCCTCCCCGATTATACTGTGACAACCAGTCCGCTTTATATATTGCAGCTAATCCTGTTTTTCATGAACGAATGAAGCATGTGGATGTTGATTGTCACACAGTTCGAGAAAGTGTCCAGCGGCATGAGGTGTCGACACGATATGTTCCTACTCGATACCAGTTGGCCGATATTTTTACTAAGCCGTTGGGCAAACCTAGTTTTGATTTTTTATTGTGCAAGTTGGGCATTCGGGATCTTCATGCGCCAACTTGAGGGAGAGTGTTAGCGGGTATTTGTAGTTTTGGATTGTAATTAGTTTATCGGGCCCACTTGTACCCCTAAGCCCGCTTGTACTTGTATATATACACTTGCTTGTGATTAGTAAAATCAGATCAGTTTTCATTATAATTTTACACTATGTTTTAATTTATTGAGAATACACTCGAGAATTTCATTAGGAAGTCGATTGATGTGGTCCCCAACTGTAGAGTGCACATCCTGAGATAGATATCAAAGATGGGGAAATGTTAGCGTACATACAAATGACATTATTATTGTTTCCGAAAAAACAAACCAGCGGGCAAAAATATCTTGCCTTATGCCTAATGCAAATTCTATGTAACTAGCCTATTGGCTAGTTGCCCTTGAAGTACACTTTTTATAATGGAAGATCATACATATCCCCTAAGATTCTTGTAATTTATGGTAATACTCTCATAGTCAACGGTTGTCTCATTGTTGCTCCCGTAAATTTTACATTGCCACTCTTATGGTATTGCTGGAGTTCTTGAAATGAAGATTGGAGAGCAGAATAGAAATTAAGTTTCCATGCTGGGGACAATACCTAAATAATAACTTCCATTATTTGAGGGAGAATTTGGGTTACTTGGATATGTCCAAATATGAAGTTAAAATTGAGGAGAGCGAACAAGTGATTCACAGTGTGGGTAGAACAATGAATCGTACTAAATAGTTCTTTGTTTCTTTTGTTTATGGTCTTTCCATCATCTCTGATGGAGCCAAAATTTCACCATTTTTTCGGCTTTGGGGTGTGATGGAATAAATCAAAATGAATCTCTAAACTGTCTGCGCTTCTTTAATTAATGAAGTAGCAGTTAGTCAAGCAATGCAACTTTCGACGTTGAGCCAGGGGTCTCTTTGGAAACAGTCTCTCTACTTTCGAGTAGGGGTTAGGTCTGCGTACACACACCCTCCCCACAGACCTTACTCTCGTGGGATTTAACTGGGTTGTTGTTGTTGTTTTCTTTTGTTTATGACCATAATGACGAAGTGAAATTATGCCAAAGAGGAGATCCACAATATATTTGCTATATTTAAAGTCTTACTTTTAAGTTCATTATGCCAAAACTCAATATATAAAAAAATTGTAGAACATCAGCTAATAGTGTGTTCCTGATGAAAAAAAGTGGAGGACGATACTCAAGTGCTCTCCCTCCTTCAATATCATCAATGTCCTTGGCAAGTATGAAGGATTCCTGAATCATCCCTGTGATAACCAAACAATTTGAAATTAGTTTATTGATTAAGAATTCCAGCAAGCACTAACATAATGAGGACTAATAAGCCATTAGCCCATGACATGAGGGCTAAGCCTCCATTTAACTTAACATAGAATACTAAAACAATACATTCAAATGCATAATTCATACAATAAGTAAAAAGAGTAATTTAAGATATTTTGGGAAATTAATGTGATTTTCGTTAAGTGGACAACTAATTCTAGATGTTCTAAGAACAAAAGGTTGACCGACAAATCGGTGAGAATGCTTTAGCAGGAACACAGAAAGTCAACAAAGAAAAAAATCATATAGGCTCATAGGAAAATTTAAGCAATGTTGTTTAGCTCAAACGGTAAGATCCTATAGACTCATAGGGGGTCATAGTTACTGCATAAAATTTGTAAGTTAACCCAATGTAGAACAACTTCAAAGTGTCCTAATTCAACCATAGTAATAAGTTACTACTCCGTATAACCATAAACAGACAATGGTGCATTGGTGCATGTATGGAAGGTTACTTTGAATTTTAACTTGTTTCCTAGTTTCCCTTTTTTGGATCTGTGGTGACGACTTACTTCCCAAACTTCTTTCAGCAAAAAAAAAAAAAAAGGATCAAACTTCGGGGGAAAAAAGTGCTCATTTAAGTAAAAGACTCAATTGGGAGATAATTAAAGCTTGATCCCATTCTTCTAAGAAACCTTCATTCAAGTTAGGAAAAAGGATTAACACTTTCAACAAAAAAGATTAAAACTTTAAGCAAAAAAAACAAAACAAAACATTCAGCGAAAAAAGAATTAGAGTAAATTCTATAATTGGTCCTTTATAACAAAGAGTTTCCATATTTAGTCCTCTATTATCAAATATTACCCAAGTAGTCTTTCTTTTATAGGTATCTTTCGACAAATAATCCTTTTTTTGATCTTCTATCATGTTGGTGTTAATTTGAGGGCTAAAAGTGTAATTTCACAATGATAATATATCTTTTTTGTCATACACAATTTCAAAGGCTGTTCCATTTGCATCGTTTGTGAATTACAGTCGCTTTTTACGACACCTATAGTCTACAAATGTGATCTTTCGTCAGAATCCTAGCCCACAATCAGTCATTATTTTTGTGTTATCCGCTTAACCAATATCAGAACACGTCACTAGACATAATGTTGGCGTCAAATTATACTTTTGGCCTTTAAATTAACACCAACACGGTAAAAGATAAAAAAAAGGACCATTTGTGGAAAGGTATCTTTAAAAAAGGACTACGGAGGTAATATTTGATAATAGAGGACTAAATATGGAAACCCCCATGTTATAAAGGACCAATTATGAAATTTACTCAAAGAATTAAAACTGAATTAGAGGAGAATTAAAACTAAAAAAAGATTAAAACTTTAAGCAAAAAAAAGAACAAACCTTTCAGAGAAAAAAGAATTAAAACTGAATTGGAGGAGAATTAAAACTCAATCTCAAATTCTCAATCATGTATGAAATCTTCATTCAAGTAATCAAAACGGATCAATGCTTCCGGATAAGAAAACAGGGCTGACAAACTTCAAAATCTAAATAACATTGCAAATCAGAAAGAAAGAAAGAAAAAATTATGGAGTAACAAGAAACAGGAGGAGGCTTGGACTTGTAGAGGAAGATCGAATGAAGATGATGGTGCTAGAGCCTAGAAGAGAAATCCCCAGTTAGCCAAAATTTAGAATATAAACAGAGTATTTGGCATGCTTCTTTGTTTCTAAACTACTCCCTATCAAATACCGAGTCTCGATTTGAGTGGATTTGAAATTATTGATCCTATTTGAGGCCCATGGCATGCCCAAACTCTTGTCCATGTTGATGAAATATTATGTGACACATGTATTGTTTTTCACGAAATTTTACTAGGTAATTTAGTATCTCAATTTCAAAACATCTCATAAAAGTATCTGAACTTTTACCATCTTCACACTAAAAATTTATTTGTCCATTACCAAGTGACCATTTCGGGCCAAATTGCAAAATCCAAATTTTTATTTTTTCACATTGACCCTCATTTCTTATTTCTCTTCTCCCACTCCCATAATTTATAATTTTTTCTTTTTCAACTCACTCCCCTTTCTTTTCTTTTTTCTTATTTGCTATTCTTTCCATCTTTTCTTTTGTTTTTTTCCTTTTGATCCATTTTTAACGGTAAAAAAAAAGTAAGAGTAAAAACATTGAAAATATACGAAAATAAGACTTCCATGTTTTTATTTTTGAAATAGGAGTTAAAATGTATTTACATTACCAAAAATTGTCATATACATTATCAAAAAATATAGTAATGTACACATATACAATGCCACATTATCATCATATTATCACAGTATGAACTCATATTTTGGGAATAAAAACATGGAACTCCTGTTTTGGTACTTTTTCAATATTTTAGTTCTATTTAGGGTGATTTCTCTTTTTTAACTCTTTATTTATTTTTTATTCATTTTTACATTTTATCATTTCTTTCCTTTTTACTTTAATTTTCTTCTTTCTGTCCTCTTTTTTTTATTTTTTTCCTTTTTATTTTTTTAACGGTTTTAATTTCCTGTATTTGTTTCCGTTTGCTATATTTTTCTTTAGTTCCTTTTTGAAATTTTTATTTATTATTTATTCCTTTTATTCCTTTTTGTTTTCTTTTTTGTATTTGTCTCCATATTAGCATTGTATTTACTATTTAAGAGTTCTAATAATCCTTGATGCAATCTCGGGAGGGAATCCTTGATGCATATAAGAGTTGTATTTGTCTCCACAATAAGCTTACGTACTTTGACACGGCATGTTATAAGGAGAAGGAATCCTTGATGCAATCTCGGGAGGGATGATGTTGAAATAGATAGAAACTAAAAAGAAATTGGAAGTTATTGTCTCATTTTAACAATACATGAGCTTCATATTTTTTTATCTAAAAAAATACTAATATTGCCAATTTAAAGTGCCAAAAAATATAATGAGATACCACTATACAATGTCATTGTTAAATATATACTATATTTATGTTAAATATATATTCTATATTTATTGTACACATATTGTTTTCTATTGTAGAATCCTACCATAATTAGGATTAGGAATAGCTTGTGTATATAAACACATGTACTCCCACATTATTGTTTAAGGAAATTTATAATTCTTCATGGTATCGGAGCCATAATTTTCACAAAACCCTAACCCTACCTCCTCTCTCTCTCTCTCTCTCTCGGTGTGCCCTCCTCCAGCCGAACAGCCGCCGCCGCCTCTCTCTCTTGTCAGTCTGTTCTCGGCGCACGCACAGCCCACGTCGGCGAACCCCCCCTTTCCTCCCTCGATATGGCTTCCTCCGACAAAAACACAGAAAATTCAACCTCCTCCTCCTCCAATTCCCCTCATCTCGCTTTCACCACAATCTTCAACGTCAAGCTTCATGTCCCGATCCAACTAAGCTTCTCTCAGCCCAATTACAAGAAGTGGAGCCGGCTTTTTCTTCTCCTGGTGCGCCGGTTTACACTCCACGGCTTTCTCTCGGATTCATCATCTCCCTCCTCTGCCAATGATGATGAATGGTACCAGCTTGACGCCCTGCTCCAAGGGTGGATTCTCTCTACTATCTCTGACGAAGTCTCAGATCTGGTTATCTCCACCACCTCCATCGCAGCTGAATTATAGCGGGTTATTCATGCACTTTTTCATGACAACAAGCATGCTCGGGCGATGCAACTCGAGCACCAAATCCGAACCACTGTCAAGGGTACGATGCCTATGGCTACGTACTGCCAAACCCTGCGGAACATTGCTGATTGGTTGGATGACGACGACGCCCCGGTCTCTGAGTCTCAACTCGTGCTTCAAATGCTTCGGGGATTACCCAAAGATCTCCAGGCTCAGACATCGTTCCTACAATTCCAGCAACCGCTGCCCAACTTTCTTCAGACCAGATCCGCCCTCCTGCTCCTGGATCGGAAACGGCAAAGCATCACAGACGACGCCGGGACGGCCCTCCTGGCCGGCCGAACCGGCGGCCCACACTATGGCACCAGCAGCGGCGGCTTCGGGCGTGGCAGTGGAGCGCTAGGCAGCGGGCACAACGGTGGCAGCGGCGGCCGCGGACAGCAGGGGCGCAATTCTGGTCGTGGTGGAGGCGGCCGTGGACGTGGACGAGGAAGAAACTCTGGCTCGCAATAACGACACCCAAATGACGGCTACGTACCTTGGAACTCACAGCAACCAAACCCCGGCTCGGGTCTTCTCGGCCCGCGCCCACCCAACCCTACCCACGCCCATGCCTACTACACCTACAATCCTAACCCTAACCCTTGACCCCACCCCTACGGCCAAACAGCCTACCCTACCCCAACCCTACCCCC